TATCTGGATTGGATTTATTATAAGAACATTATACTGGCGACGAGGATGGGACCCCAGAGGTAATCAATCTGAGCGATGACATCCTGGTGTTTGGCAAAACATTGCAGGAGCATGATGAAGCTTTGAGAAACACATTCCAGAGACTAAAGGAAAAAAAAAACTTAACGCTGAACAAGGCAAAGTATGTGTATAGGCAGACATCGCTGCCATTTTTTTGGATACACATTCTCTGATGGAGGTTTCTCACCTGACCCTACAAAGCTCAAAGCACTTCAAGAGGCTGCTCCACCTAAAAATGTTAATGAAATGCGCAGTTTACTTGGCATGGCAAACTACAGTGCTCGTTTCATCAAAGTCTTTGCTTCCATCACACAGCCACTCTGTGAACTGACAAGAAAGCACATGATACAGGCGCTTTCTGATACAGAACAAAAGTATTCTCAAACTGAACGTGAGGCATTGGCCATTGTCTGGGTATGTGAACATTTTCATATGTATCTCTATGGATCACAGTTTACCCTGGTAACTGATCATAAGCCCCTTGAATGGATATTCAACAACCCAAAGTCAAAGCCACCCACAAGAATAGAACGGTGGGGTCTACGCTTACAGTCCTACAATTTCACTGTTCAGTACAAGTCAGGAAAAGACAATCCAGCAGACTACATGTCTCGCCACCCCCTGCTATATACTTCTACATCGCAGTCAAATGCAGCGAAGTGTGCTGAGGATTATGTCAATTTCCTTACTGCCAGCGCTGTACCTAAAGCCATGACATTGCAAGACATACAAATTGCCACGAAAAATGATGCAACCCTGTCAAAAGTTGCGGATCTCATTAAACATGGTGGGTGGGAAGATGCTGTAAAAAAGTCAGTGGACAGTAATATTGACAGACATACACTGATCTCGTTGTACAAGATACGACAGGAGTTATCTGTTACAACAGCAGGAAATGTGGTGCTGAGAGGGATTAAGATAGTAGTGCCACTGTCATTGCAGGAAAAAGCGGTCTCCCTTGCACACGAAGGACATCAAGGGATTGTGAAAACAAAACAATTAATCTGTGAAAAAGTGTGGTTTCCTGGTATTGATAGACTGGTTGAGAGAAGGATAGAAACCTGCATTCCATGTCAAGCTGCTGTGCCTACTAATAACAGAGAACCATTGGAAATGTCGGAGCTGCCATTCAAACCATGGGATAAAGTTGGAGTTGATTTTTGTGGCCCATTTCCCTCAGGAGATTACCTCCTTGTTGTGATTGATGAATATTTCAGGTACCCTGAGGTTTAGATTGTTCAGTCCACATCAGCAAAAAGCACCATTCCGAAGTTAGATAAGATTTTCTCATCTTTTGGCGTGCCTTCAGAGGTCAAGACAGACAATGGCCCACCCTTTAATGGACATGAGTTTGCTGATTTTTCCTCATATTTAGGTTTCAAACAGAAAAATCACCCCACAAGCAAATGCAGAAGCAGAACGGTTTATGAGGACGTTGGAGAAAGCCATTCAAGCAGCCCATGTGGATAATTTACCATGGAAGCAAGTTCTGTATACTTTCCTTCGCAATTATCGTGCCACCCCACATTGTTCAACAAAAAAGTCACCTGCTGAAGTTTTGTTCGGAAGGCCTTTACGCACCAAGCTTCCAGAGTTTTATCCAAAACAACCAAGCTGTGATGACACACTTCACCATGCAGATGCTGCAGCAAAAACAAAACTGAAATGGCATGCAGATATGAAATATCGTGCTAAATCTTCAAGCCTAAAGGTGGATGACATTGTTCTGTGTCGACAACAGAAGAGTGGAAAGCTCTGTTCAGCTTTTGAGCCTCAACCGTACAAGGTGATCTCTGTAAAAGCGCCAATGATCACAGCATTGTCTGGCACTCATAAGGTCACAAGAAATTCATCACACTTCAAGGTGCTGTGTTCCTCAAAAAGTCACACAGAAAAAAAAGGATTCGGAAATACAATGGATGATGGTTGGGAACTTAACATCCCAGGTCAAACCAAAACGGTAACACCATCATCCCAAGCAGCTGGTGCACAGCCACCTACTTCAGAGATCAGAAGATATCCGGAGAGAGAGAACAGAGGACCTCCAAGGAGATTAGCAGATTATGAAATACAAAGTATATAAACTTTGACAAATTTTTTGGTTACAGAGTGGAATGTTTACTGTTCACTGTTAATATGTGCGTATTTGATTTATATGAAAATATCTGAAGGTGAAGAGGATTGTAATGTTTAAAACTGTCTAAAGAACACTTGGGGGTGAGGAACTAAAGAAAAGGATAATAACAGCAAAGAGGAGTTAGTAAGTTTGGAGGGTTTGTTGGAGAGGCGAAATAAAGGTTGAGCTGTTCTACTGACATATCTGGATTGGATTTATTATAAGAACATTATAGTATCCAGCTGCAGACCTGCAGCACCAGCAGTTTCAGAACTGCAGCCACAGAACCGGAAGTGAGGGGCGGAGCTTACGTTCTTAACAGAGTAGCGCCACCTTACGGTTTTTAAGGGGTCATTTTTTTTATTACACACACGATATGTAATTTTTATGTATGTATGCATTTTATAATGATATATTAAGCATTTTATAAGAAGCGGGTGAGTTTACCCGACAGGCGTTCTAAGCTGGAAAGTTATGTCCAGTGGGGACATAATTACGGATTATAATGGCTTATACTGTCTTTTTACACATTGCATCACGCCGCGTAAACATATAACCATGTCTGCATTTGTGATCGGAGAAACGACAAACAACAAGCGCTACTCTACACTGCTCAAAACTCGCGTTTGAATAGTCAGTGGCAAATTCTTTAAATATGAAAACTTACAGTCTGTGAGTCAGAACAGCCGGCATTGTAGTCCACTCTTCCAGGATCAGGAAACAGTCCTCCATAAAATGGGCTGCACACATCTGAATATTTGGGTTGAACTGTTCTGGAACGGTGTTGTAAATACAACTTAACCACTGATTTCTAGTCGTGTCCTCTTTTGGAAGGCCAAACAAAGTAGTTTCGCTTTCACAACGAAACACACAGCATCACACACGGCGGGCTAGAGTGAGGAACTTGAGGCGGGCTTGAGAACGGCGCGGTCGGTGGATTCAATGGATTCGAAGCAGATATCGTCCTCTTTTGGAAGGCCAAACAAAGTAGTTTCGCTTTCACAACGAACACACACAGCGTATTTACGACATGGTGTATCATGGTGTATAGTAACAACAATACTACAGCGAGAATAAAAGTTACACCTTCTTTCTTTGTGTGACACCCTGTACGTGTAGTCACAGGAATAATTAGTTTTTTCCCATGTATTTGATTGATGTATCCCAATGTGTTTGCTGTTATTATGTTTAATGGTGATGTGTAGTAATCTCAGTGGACAGTAGGGGGAGACGCGGTGCTGATTAAGGACTGTGTGGTTAACGGTGAGTCGCGGAGAAGAGGCCATTACAAGAACGACTCCATGACAGAAAGCAGCGCAACTGTGTTTCTCTTTGTTTATTTAAACAGGTGGGTGAAATCGATCACCTAGGACATAAAACATAACAAAATATGTCGATTTTGTGTGTATGTTGTTTCAGGAGGGTAATATACATTTCCTGAGTCGAGTTAAAATGTTTAAAAGGGACAGTGTTTGTGTTTATGAAAATGGCGTTTCATTCGCGGACATTCCGCGTCATCCCTGGTAAAATAATACAATCCAAATGGTTAGAGGCTCCAACACACTGAATACCCAAAGTAATGTAATGTTTATTGTGTTTATAGCATTAAGAGCGATGTATTGAGCAATCGCCATGCGTGTTAAGATCTCTATGTATAAATATACATATATATATATAGCCTATATAATTTTTTAATAGTATATACTGTTGATGTTTGGATATTATAATATGTTTTAATGATCTTTCTTCTGATTAAGTATATTCGCTGCATATAGTAATTCAGTTTAAATGTTCATATTGTGTAGCCAATGGTTTGCTCAACCATTCAGTTATACAGTGATTGATATGACATTTGCACATACGAGAGAGACTGTAATATATTGTGATGTAAAGGAAGAAGGTATTGAGTTAGATGACAGAAATACAGATTGAGTGTAAGAAAACTATTACAAGAGTTATGCAACATGTTTATTAGTGTTTGGTTTAAGTGAGTCACATGTAAGGTGACATAAGACATTGTGATTTAATTATACAATCTTTGAATTATTGTAATAAAGCATTACAAGAGCGACTCCATGACTGAAAACAGCACAACTGTGTCTCTCTTTGTTTATTTAAACAGAAAACTTGCTGCAGCACCACCAGTCGGACGGTGGGTGTGCTACATTTGCTTGAACATTTGGGTGGCGTTATGCAAATCTTCCCACATTGTGACAT